GCTGAACATAGGCCTCCCCCAAGAAGTGCCACAAAGCACGATCCTGAGCCACCTGCATCTATCGACTTCCTGCATGTATTATCAGGTCGTCACTGAACTTAATGAGGGGATACCCTAAACTTCGATTACCGATACGAGGCTGCCACTTGAGAACCTTTTTTCCCCATCAGTTGTCGGTTCTTCGAGCTATATGGCCGGCCCATTGCCACTTCAGCTTACAAATCCGTTGGGATATGTCAGTCACTCTGGATCTAATGCGAATATCCTAATTTCTAAGTTTATCATGCAAAGTAACCCCAAACATGGTCTTCTCCACGGCTCGCTGAATGACCTTGAGCGTCATCATACGGTCAGCAGTGAAGGACCAAGTCTCAGATCCATAAGTCATCACTGGCAACACGCTCTGGTTTTTTTTTTTTTTTTTTTTTATTTATAGGATAAGGGTGACAAACGAGCACACAGTCCACCTGATGTTAAGTGGCTGCTGCGGCCCATAGACATCCACATCTATCCTCTGTTACAAATCAAAATGTAGATGCGTTGTCACCCGTGAGGACTAAGATGGAATGCCTCATTTCCAGTAAAAAGGGCCTCCGGCCACCTGCACTCACCAAGCGAAACGCAGAGGTAAACCTCTACTTCACGCTGGTTTTCTGTGAGGTCGTGGTACTACCCCGGTTCGAGCCGGCCCATCCGTGCGACAGCAAAAGCTGCCGCGTGGCTCTACCACTGTTAAACACTGGTTGTACAATCTCGTTTTTAAGTTTTGAGGTATACGTGCCACACTCGGTCTTGAGTTTTGACAGTTGGCTCTTTCTGGCGGACATATCTCTGGCAAAGACTTTGGAGCCTTGGTTCCATTTGATCGCTTCTTCAATACGAGCTGTATTGAAGTCCTGCCGCATGCAGTTGGAGATCTGTCTGTTCAATTGCCTGTAAGCTGTCAAATCTGCTGAAGACTGCAACTTCATTTCCCTTCTAACATCATGAGATTAAGAGTATGATCGGAGAGTTTTTGTGTTCTTCTACGGCGGGTCTTGCAGAACTTAGCTCCAACCGCATGGATAGTTTCCACGACCTTGTCATTCATATAGTCCACTCCATTGCAGTCTTTTAAGCACTGTAAATGGTTTTGTAACTCGAGTTTAAAGGTTTCCGGACTTTGGTTAAGCACACGAGGGGGACGGAGCGTTGATTTCATTAGACGAAACCTCTCTAACTTAATGTTTTCGGTGATCGCTGCCATTTTCCACCCTGGCGATCACTGAGACATCACCGAACAGTTGCCGTCATGTCTTCATAATGAATAAAATCTCATTTTTTGTCGAATCGTCGGGGCTCGACCAGGTCCATTTTCTGTGGGGCCGCTTCTGGAAGAAAGAGTTCGTCATATAAATTCCCTCTTTCTCCATGAAGTCGGCCATCTGCTGGCCCCTTGGGTTCCGTTGCTCTATTCCTAATTTCTCTACCTTCAGCTCACCGTTCTCTCTTGTGAGTAGTTTTGCGTTGAAGTCTTCCATTACCAAAGTATAGTAGGTTTTGGAGAAATACATGGCTTTAGAGATAGCTTCATACATTTCCTCCACCTCCTCATCAGGTTGTGTTAGTGCGTAAACCTGTATGAACTTTAACGAATTCTGTTTGGTAATTCTGTGTATAAGATATGCTACTCATGTCGACACACTCACAATCTTTACAACGTTGTTAACGAGAGACTTGTGGACGATAAATCCGACACCTCCTTGGGAGAGATGGTCGCCCTCCCGGTGACAGAATCCCGGATTCGGGGATTAACGTGTCCTCACCCACTCTTCGGACCTCAGATAATCCTATAATATCCCCGCGCAACTTGTCTATCTCTTCTTCTAGCTCCAGGATCTTCTCGTCAGTCCTCAGGGTGCGTGCGTTGTATGTTGCCATGTCGAGTCGTCTTAGGTGGCGACCGAGCCTCCACCGGAGATTCTTAGCACCCCCTGCCCCGCACTTACCATGGTTGTCACCGTAGCTAGGAATAGCGGGCCGTCTCTTCGTAACTTTGATCTTGAGGGGTATATCACCTTAGTTGTCACGCTTGGTGAGCGGATTGGCAACCGCAGTTTTTTTATTGTACTATTGCTGTTATCAAGAAGATGCAGTTGCCCATCTCCTGCTTGTTTCCTACTGTTGCCTCTTACGACACCCACGGGAAGATATGGGGCAGTGGGTATTCTTTATCACCACTACACGGCCTTCTAAACCGTTTAACTAAATATAATATCATTGTTCGCTGTTGGACATAGGCATGTCCCACAGATTGTCACAAAGTACAGGTACAACCACCTGCATCCATCGACTACTTGCATGTGTCGTCCCTTCATCTACTGGAGGGTTGCCCAATACTGCACTTGCCAGTACGAGGCTGCCACTCGAGAAACTTTCTTCTCCATCGGTTGTCGGTTCTTTGAGCTTTATGCAGGCCCATTGCTACTTCAGTCTATTCATCCATTGGGTTAAGTAAGTTACTCTCTATCTTCTACGGAAATCCCCGTTAGGGATTTCATCGCGCAGAGAAACTCCAAGCATAGCTCTCTCCAACGCTCGTATAGTGACTTTGTGTTTCTTCATACGGCCAGCAACAGTAGAGTAGCGTGCTTTAGAGGGGCCCTGTATCAAAATTTGTCGAGGGGCCCAAATGAAGGGTAAAGATTTTTCACAAAAGGAACAAAAACTCTCGCATTGAATTAAAATAATTATATATTGATTATAAGTTATTACTTACAATTAATACTTCTAGGAACTAAGCTAGCCAAACAATTCAAAGCAACATCCTATCCCATAGAAGTCCTTAGAATTTTTGCTTAGATACGTTCGGAGCCCCTGTAGTCCGGGGGCCCCGTATCATTGATACGGCTGATACGGCGGTAGCTACGCCCCTGGCTAGCAGTGAAGTCTTCACTGGCAGCACGCAAGGTTTTATAAGTCACGTATATGTTGTGCGTATATAAGGATTATGTACCAGCTTTATATGTATAGTTGTATTATTTCGTATTTAAATTTAAAAAAATATATTTGTTGTTATATGTATTTAGTTAGTTATATCATATTTAGTTACAGTCTATACAACGAAAACGGACAGTTAATTAAATGAGTATAATAATAATAATAAAATAACAAACCGATATAAATTAAATGGCGTAAATAAATGCAGCAATATTTAGGAAGAGAAACGTGAAGGTCACACAATACGTTATCAAGTATGATAACATATGTGACCAAAGAAACGAAGTGATGGTTATTAATTCAATAGAGCGTTGCGGTGCTCCAATTGGGAAGTGATTGTAAGAAACTTGTTTAGGTTTAGTTCATGTTCCTATTAATTAAATACTTATATTGTGTTATTGTTCAAATTAGAACATGTGGAGGATTAGGAAAATTAATCTATATTTAGCTTTACATTTTATTTCATTGTGATAAAGTTGTTAATCATCTGATTAGTTCAATAACTGCTCCCGGTTTTTTAACGTTTTTGCATCCCTCAAGTGTGTCGGTCTGATTTGTGCCAGCCACGGTCACTCACACGAAACACTACCGATAGCATGCATTCTTTATTTGTAAATCATATTGTTAAAGGGTCATTATTTACATTTATTAAACCCAAACCATAAATAGTGTGCATTAATAATAAGTGCCACCGTTCACCAAATAAGTGCTTTCCTTAAACCATCCTTTTACGTACATACTCGTTTTAAATTTCGCACATTTCGATTTGTTATGACTGATTCGGAAGAGGGGGTCCGGAGTGGCATTACTCTTACTGAAATTAAAAATATGATATGAAATTGATTTTTTTTTTAAAAGGAAACTATTTTAAAACAGTAAACTGCATTAGAAATTTAAACGTCATCTATTTATAAGTTCAATTTATATTCTTTTTAATTTGTTAATATTTCACATATTGAAGTAGTCGACCCTAATATTTTTTATGAGCTTTTCGCAAGACCTTCATAACTTCAGGTTTTAATCATAAACGTCTTTGATTTTTAGAAATTCTAAAATGTGTTATTAATTTTATGTATGTGTTACATATGTAACATTCAAAATTAACTGGAACTCCGCGAAACGCAATTATAGAATTAATTATGTAATTTCAATGACATAAACAAATGGAGGTACCTAAATAATATGTTAGTCTAGACGCGTTCGTTCCTTATATGGACTGTGTTGATGTTATGTAAGATGCGGCGATAGAAAATGCGACACTATTATTGTAATATACCTCGTATTGAGGTCAATTTTCTTTTCTAATTCATTTCGGGATTAAAGTTTTTGACAATTATTCGTCGAGAAGTCAGCATTTAATCTCCTATTTATCAGGAGCAGATTCTCAATTAATTTTTATGTGATATTTCGTTACCATTTTATTAGATTTCAATGGCTTTTGTTACAAAGAGGGCACCTCAGAGGCGGTCCCATATAAATTTGGCCACGATCTGATGATGGGATCCATGAGAAAATAAACTTTTATATTTGCTAAGCATTTGCACGATTTAAAGGGTGAATAAATCTAGCGCGTAAACTGATTCCGTAGATTAAATAATATTTTTAATTCTTTTGAATTAGTAGTTACTTATTTAAAAGTTTAAATAAATGGACAAAAAACTTGTTTTTAAAATAATAAGAAAGATACTTTCATATAATATGAATACAAAGTATAGTTTTTATAATTTAAAAGTTAAGAATAAGTGAATGAGTCAATAAATAATCAAATTATTAAAAAAAATGTATAATAATATGTAGCAATAATTGCGATTGAGAATAAATAATTTAAAAAAATGCGATTCAATATAACTAAAAAAGTCTTAAATAATTAACAACTCTTTAAAAATATGTAAATTAAAATTTAAAATTATAAGACAATTAAATGGTATGGTTTTGAGCCAATTAAATAAAGTTTGATTGGATATTTTATTGTAATGAAATTAAAAATAACTCCAAAAATAAAACATTACGAGAAAACTTACGGGTGATGGAAGCGCCGAGCACAGTGGCGGCGAGTATTACCACAGCGTACCAAGGAGCGGCCATATCGATCGGTGGCCCTCGCGCCACTGAATGAACAGATTTGGCATTCTTTCGCTACAATTGACCGTTGCGATGGCAAAGTAAACGCTGATGTTCGCATCCTGTTCACCACACATTGCGTGATTCACTGTTCCTTTGTGCTCGATTGCAATAATTGCGATGAGGTGGTTATTGGAATACGTTAAGAGAATCGATTGTGAATAAGTATGGTGGTAGGGGAATTCAGGAGCCCCCAGATGTTATTATGTTAACCACGCTAGCTAGCAGCTGCGTCAATTTTCGGGTGGCCATATTATTGGCATCCGTTTGGACATACTTAATATAGTTTTTAATGTGACGTTATTGACTCTGTCCAGCAGTGGCAGGTTTTGTTATTTTTTGTTCCATTATTACATAGTATTTTAAAGTACTTAAACTAAAATAGCAATTTAAAATTATAATAACTATATAAAATCATTCTAACACGTCGTTTGCGTAACATTGACCTTTCAATACAAAGCACGGTCCCGAGATGTCTGTATCCAAGTATTATATGACAGTTTTCGTTTCTCAATCTATGCTCTTCATTAGTCTTTTGTAAAGTAAAAGTAAAATAACACCTTGACTACGTGTCACTGCTGGGCACTGGCCTGCTGCCATTACAAACAGTGTTACTAAAAGGATTTCGGAGGTATGTAGTGTACTGGTAGAATGCACTAACAGTAGAGTAGGGAATAGAAAGTAGGAATTTTATGGGAAATAAAAGAGACGACAATTGTTTCGTTCGTTCCACGATACCATGTCGATATCCTCTATTTTGACTTTCGCAGGGCGTTTGACAGGGTTAATAATATTGGTGGGTCGTTGTCAAATTTATGACGGACGGAACGTAACCGTTTTCCCGACGACGAAAACGGTTGCAAAAAACGATCGTCCTTGCAACTGGTTTGAAGACGGCTTAAAGGACGAAACTTATTCAACATGGAATAGAATTGCGTTTACCTCGAGTGAAATGGTTGCAGTTTCTTACAACTAAGGTAAGGACTGTTTTGTGTATGTCTACGTTTGTAAACGAACGCGGAACCAAATACTGCAATATAACGTGGAACGTTAAGGACGACGACGCGTCGAGTGAGATAGATAGTTAAATCATTGCGATCTCGACTGTATTTTCATAGCCGTAAAATAAAACATCGCACCAAGTATTTCAATGACTGGTTTGTGCAACGAAGACTGTTTGAACCCAGGACGTAAAAAAGGTCCGTCGTCGCAATGCCCATCCCTAGTTAATAATAACATGCTTCTTGATAAGATTCCAGCCATAGGCTTTGCCCCAAATTTTCTTCGGTTAATCGCGGACTACCTTCGTGATCGCCAGCAGTATGTTAGGCTCGGTATATACGAGTCAAGACACTATCACACGCGCTCAGGTGTTAGTCAGGGATTGATTTTTGGCCCTCTGCTATTTTTGATTATGATAAATGACCGCCCAACAATGGTTGCACACTCGAAGTGTTTGCTGTATGGAGATGACTCAAAATTGTTCACGGAGATAAAATCTGTAGCCGATTGCGTGGTAATGCAGAGTGATATAGGTGCTTATTCCAGTAGAGTGTTAAGAATAAAATGGAGCTTAATCTGGATAAGGTCAATGTCTTGCGGTCGTAAATTGTTCCCTTTTTGTTACGATTATAAAATCAACAACCGTGTTATGACTTGGACTGATATTATAAAAGATCTAGGGGTTATTTTTGATGGAAAGCTCATATTCCACGCTCACATAATAAAGTTAGCTAAGGAATCATATAAACGCTTGGGATTCGTTCTCAGAAATGATAGAGTTTCGTAACAATAGCGTAATACGCTTAATATTCAGTGCTTTGATATGCTCGAAACTCGAAACTAGTTGTTATGTTTGAAATCCGTATGAATGCACTTATATTTTTCTTTTGGAAAAGGTCCAAAAGCCCTTTTTGAGATATCTCTACAAGCGCCTTTATGGATACTGTCCATATTTATATCCCACTAAATTTCTCCTGGGTTCTTTGAGTTACAAATCATTGCGAGCACGAAAACGATATTCGCTCTAGAACTCAGTGCCGAATTGTGTCGATTTTTTTATACCAAATAACTACTGTCGTTATCGCGAGCATAAACTTTTTGCTGTGCTATGGGCACGCATCGTTGCGCGCGCCAACTCGCCTGTTCCCCGTGTCCTCACCGCATTTAACGCTCTTTTGGAGATAAATCCTGAGTGTGACCTGTTTGCAGATGAATGGAAGGTAATATTGTCTGAATGCCTGAAGTTTTGTGAGCAAGAACAATGAATATGTTGCCTTTCACTATTGTAATTGGTTTAACCGTTTTAGTTAAAGTAAAAATAAAAAAAAATAATAAGAGATGCTGCTCGCCATCTCTTCTGACGTCTCTGACAGTCTTTACTGAGTCCAATGCTGTGCGACCGGACTTGCGCTGTCTATAAAATAAGAAGTTAGCCTGGCGTGAATTACCGCTGCACCTTTGTAAACACTTATTTTCATGCGGCTACTTAGCCCTTAGATTTTTGTTGAGGTTCAAAGAAATCTAGACTACTAACAACTAAACGCGGTAGAAATACTCCAAGGATACATGTGAGCGTGTTTTGTTTCAGCGGTGAACTTTCGTCTTTCTTACAGTATTAAAGTGCCAAAGACCTAACAGTCTCATTGGTAAATAACTTCTGAATCCCTTGGATACCCACAACAGTCTGCAAAGAAAGAAAGTTACAGATATTGTTACCCCTAAGTCATTTGTAAAAACTTAACATATAAATATTAATTTTGTATATTATAGAATATACCTACGGATGGCTACCCTTTTACTACCACGTGCAAGCTCCCGGATGTAACAAATCAATTCTTTATATGGATATCACAACAGATTCATTCTTAATCCATTTGTTTCGATTTAATTAAATGGGATCCGGTAAGGGCCAAAGGCATACGACGCGTCTGCACTGAGGTATAAGTGTCCAAGACTATCTCAGGAAACGATCCTTGCGTTATTTATTACATTTTTGTAGCATCTGCACAATTGAACAAAGTATTGTGGTAGATTATTTTAATAGAAATGTTTGCTTGTATTGCGTGAAATTTGAAATGATGCCTCGAACTATACCATCAGATTTTATCTCGCACTTCACTTAATTATCCATTCCCAATATGGGATAACTAGGTAGTCACTGGTTTGGATAGGTTTGTCAATTTTTGATATGATTATTGTTTATGTACTGTCCGATTAGTATCCTTGTGGCCGGTGAAAGGAAAAGGGGAGATCTCCCACCGGGCAAGGTGTTCTGCCCGGAGAGCGGCCAGCGCTCCGATTGGTAGTTCGGAGCTATTCTATACATATATGCTGCTTTAACTTCGGAACTTTGTTAGTGCGATTTAGGCTTCGATATGTTTCGCTTGTGGTGCGCCGACAGCGCCGCCACATCCTGTTTATTTTAATTTAATTTTAAGAGGTATAATTATATTTAGTTATATGGCTTACGATGAAGTATTTGGATCAGCTCTATAAAACTTACAGCATATATACGTCCCACTGCTGGGCACAGGCCTCCCCTCATTTCTGAGTGGGGTTTAGGGTAAGGAAGTGTTCGCCACGCTGCCCCAATGCGTGTTGGAGAACTTCACATGTCTTCGAAGTGTTTTTTTTCTTATTGCTCAGCCATGCAGGTTTCCTCACGATGTTTTCCTTCATCGCTGAGCAAGTGGTAAGCACTTAAAATCAGCAATTAACAATTTCATTGGTGTCGGCGGGGGTCTAACCCAGTTTGCTCGCGTAATGTGAAATTTACGGATCATTATTATTACGAATGGTTCAGTTCTAGATGCAGAAGTACACAAAAACTCTCCGATCACACTCTTAATCTCATGGCTGTTAGACGGGAAATGAAACTAAAATCTTCAGCAGATCTGACAGCATACAGACAACTGAATAGACAGATCTCCAAATGCATGCAGCGGGACTTACGCAACTTCAACACAGCTCGTATTGAAGAAGCGATCGAGCGGAACCAGGGTTCCAAAGTCTTTGCCAGAGATCTGTCTGCCAGAAAAAGCCAACAGTCAAAGCTGAAGACCGAGTGTGGCAGCGTCGTTTCTGGGACACCTGAGATTTGGAGTGAGATTGAGAGGTTCTATGGGCAGCTGTACACGTCAGGTTGGAGTCGCAAGTGTAAATAACAATCCAAAAGCATGTCTTATCCGACACTATTCCGATAATATCCCGTACGTCAGTCTGAGCGAGACTAGATTGGCCTTCCAGCTTAAAAGCTCCTTAAAAACAGCAATGCCCCAGGCAAAGAAAGAATTATAGCGGAGCTCCTGAAAGCGGGTGCAAAACCGGTACTTGAACCCATATATACCCTTCCACATAGTACTATGCTTTACACATACACTTTACACATAGTATTATAGACCACATACATACCTTTCAGTAAATTGTAGAGAAGACCGAAGAGTACAATCTGCCATTTTGTCTTGCGTATGTGTACTATTGATTCCGTCGAAATTTGGGCGTCGCTACAGTCCTTCCAGATGTGCCAAGTTGACAGTCGGTACATCGAAGTGCTGATGTGCTTATACAGTAGGACCACGATGGCTATCCGAGTACAGCATCAGAGTACGGAAACCATCTAACTGCAGAAACATGTAAGACAGGGTGACGTTATATATCCCTGAAACTATTCACCACTGGACTGGACTAGACTGGAAAGGATACGATATTTACATCAATGGCAAATACATCATTCACCTTTGATTTGCCGACGATATAGTTCTTATGGCTGGAGGACCTAAGCACTATGCTTAATTACCTCAATAGATATGCCTCCCAACGGATAGGTCTTAAGATGAACATGGACAAAATAAAGATCATGTGTAACGTCCATGTCACACTTATGCCGATAGTTGTTAAACGTACTAAGCTCGAAGTTGTTGCTGAGTATGTTTACCTGGGACAAATAGTCCGACTACGTAAGT